CAAAGAGGGAAGCGGCATAATGAAAAAAAAATTTTTTGTGGCTTAGATTTAATGTCCGGCGGACATATAAATTTGTTTCGGACAGGTTTAGGATATATTTGGACATGTCCATTTGACAAACTATCACGGGACATAAATGCGGACATAAATCTGGGACATGTCTAGGACATGTCCATGTCCATTCAAAATAAGGCGGACGTGTCCGCTGTACAACACTGCTATAAAGGAATAAAATAAAATGAATATCAACGATTAAATAATGATAACTTTCATGCACAACATGATGTCGTTAGGAAATTTTTACTATAGTATTGTAAATTACTATTTAATTTCAGCGAAAGTTTTTGTTGAAACTTGCATATATGAGCTATTTATATTTCTGCGAGATTAGTTATAAACATGAATGCATCCTTCGAAAATTTCAAATCATTGTCATTTTTGATATTTCTGTTTTACAAGATAAAGAAATAAATCAAACGGGAATAAATAATAGTTTATTTGGATAATATACATAAACAAAAGATACATTTTAACTTTATACGGTCAGAGATTTAAGTTTTAATCATCTTTACAATTTCAATAGATGTATGAGATTTTCTCTTTGCCGTTATACAATATACAATATAAAAATAGGGAAGAATAAAATACAAAGAGTATCAACGATAAATAATGATAATTTTCGCGTACATAATGTCGTTAGGAAATTTTTACTATAGTTATTATAATTACTATTTAATTTCAGTGAAAGTTTTGATGTTGAAACTGCATTTGTGAGTCATTTGTGAGATTATTCGTATAAGCGGTATTATTCATGTTAAAGTTTTAAAATCAGGTATGATGAGAATTTTGGAACCAGGAATGTGAAATCTGAAAATTTCTGGATGATTTGATTGAGGATTAGCATTAAGCGAAGAGATATTGTTGGTGTTCAATGGTGGTGTTTGTTCCTCATTAGTAGGACCAATATGCTGCTGCTTATACGACGAAGTTGAAATATTAGAGCTAAATATAGTATCGCCGTACTAGAAAAGTATCGTCAATCACTAGGAAATCAATAGAATTTTCATAATTAAAATTTGATGAAATATTTTCCATTAGAGGGTTTTGAATGACAGTTTGTGGCTATTATTTGAAGAAAAATCTTCAACTTGAAGGTTTTGAATGATAGTTGATAGATAAAAATTATTGTTATTTAATAGAATATTTTCCACTTGGAGATTTTGAATGACATTTGGCGGATTAAATTTGTGTTAAATCCAGCAAAGTTGTATCTTTAGAAATTAAGTTCATTCTGTGAAGGATGATGTGAAGGATTATTTTGTTTCACATCTTTTTAAAAAAAAATGGGTTGGAAATTTTCTTTTTACTTATTTGTATAACTAGTGAGGCATAATTTCAAGGGGCTTTGTCCTTTCGAAAATCATTGCTATTTCTTGATTCATCCAATAAAGATCAAACTAAGATATCGATAGGCCGATTGACGTATGTTTATGAAATCACGTTTTTTTTAGGTGTATTACGATAGTTAGAAATTTACTTACTGTGTAATAAATAAATAAAGATGTGAAATATCGATTACGAAATAAAATTAGTTTTTTTTTATAATAGATAAATAAAATGGAATAAGTGTTTATTTAACATTATGAATAGGTTAATGCAAATTTAGTATAAATTGTTTTTTTTTATTTACAAATTAAATTATTCATAAATTAAATAAAAATTAGAAATATTTAGACAAATGTTTTTTGTAGAATTTGAAGATTTGATTTAAAATTCTAAAGGATCTTCTTTTTTTTCAGAGTGGTAAGGGAGTAGAGGCGTTTTTTTCCAAACGTCTATATTCATCAACCATTGACATGTCAGTAATAAATGCAGAAGGGTGAAAAGAGGCAATATGCATCTTTGACCAATCTGTACAATGACTTAGTGTGACATACGCCTGACCCGTGGCAAAAATTTATTGATCTAAAGATGCTGAAATCTCTGGTAAGGTTAAACCTTGTGTCTTGTGCACTGTAAGCACAAAAGCATTCTGCAAGGGAAACTGACACCTGCTGGATGGTTTGCCATTAACAATAAATTTGTCAGATTTCCTCTTAATTACAATGTCAATAATGCCTCCAATTATACTGAATACTGTTAAGCCTAAATACTCCATCATTAGGATAACAAAGCTTATTTGCTAACAGTGAGTTTAAGTTGTAAACTATGAAAGAAATAAATACAAATTTATTTAAGTTGAAGGGTCAGATCATCTTTATTGATGATTTATATTTTAAAGAAATAGATATTAGCAAAGATATGGTTTTTATGTTATTAAGATTATACTTTATTAATTATATAATAGAAACTTGTTAGTTTGTTAAGATGACAATACAGGATATTTATAAAATACAATTATAAAATAGAGATAATAAATATAATAAAGAAAATAAATATAATTAAGATAATAAATATAGTAAAGAAAATAATGATAAACGTTATAATAAATATTACAATGATAGCTATGATAACTATGATAGTAGTAAAATTTATGAAAATGGTAATCACGATTTTTCTGGTGATCATTAATGATATTAGTTAACACAATTATTTAGTGATGCAAACAGATTATTACTAACAATGCCACCCTTATTTCCAAGGAGGAGAGGTCAAAATCAGTTACAATTCCAATAGTTCTATTGCACACTTATTTTTTATTAAATCATTTTTTAGATACATAACATATACATCCTGCTGAAGATATAAATGAGCAGGAAGATTTATCCTATATTTAAACAATTTCTGTGAGTTACTTAGATCATAATATTGCTGATTTATGTAATCAATTGCAGTATTAAGAAAGAATTTGTCCTTGTTAACAAGAAGAAGATTACAAACAGTACAGTTAATACAATCTATAGTTTACTTGTAATCAATAATATTTGTAAGACTAAGGAATGCGTCAAGAGATCTGTGATATTTGTAATTTATAGCCTTTTAATATAAGGTATTTTATATTTACAGGGAGATTTGTCTCATTCTAATTTCTTGCAAAATATTGTAATATTGCAAATTATGTTGCTGTTTTCATAAGTATCTCAAGAATAAGGAATAGAAAAATTTTCACTCAGATGAATAATAAACAGATGATTCAGATATAGGAGAAGCTAAGCCAGATTATTAACGATTATAATATTGATTTTACCAAATGCAATTGTCTATTTCTTGATGATAAAAAATATGTCAGGAATAAATACGAAAATAGTTGCAGACATCATAGATATCTCTTCAATAATCAAAGTATTAACCTTTTTAATAATTAAAAAAAGCGTGATCATGAAATACAAGAAACTAGAAACCTCCTAATATTTTACGAAATTTTAAGCAAGAGTAAATGATTTTTCTATTAATATTTTGAACTGTAACTCTAGTGAGAGCTATTAGTAGGTAATTGTAATTTTTACTTGACAAATCTTTGATAATCAGGTTAAAGATGAAGAACTTATCTGTTTTAGCAAAAACCCGTAATAAAAAGTAAAGGTATTTGTGTTCTTGATAATGTTAACGTGCAATTCTTGTGAATTACGACAGTTAGACGGGGTGTTCGAGTGGTAAATCTTTTAAAGTTTACGTAGCAATTTAATCTCAGTTTAACTT